TCTGAAGACTCAGAAATTAGCAATCTTATAATCGTCCCACAGGACCCTGAGACGTTGTTATTAATCTTTTTTTAGCCTATTTTTCCTGTTGTTCAGGTTGGGTCAAACCTGTCCACCTGCCCTGAAATCCATCGAGTCTATTCTCTGTCATCTCTCCCTACTCTTGGGTCCCTCCAGCCTAGTTTTAAATTTCTGTTGCATTTTTCAGTTTAGTAATTTCTGTTTGGTTCTCTTTTCATAACTTTGAATTCTTTGCCGAAGTTTTTCATTTTTGCGTTTGTTTCAGGGAAAGTGTAATTGCTTGCTGAAACATTTTTATGGTGGCTGCTTTAAAATCCTTGCCCAGATAATCCCAACATCTGAATCATCTCAGTCCACTCTCCAAAACTCACATCGGAGAATTGTCTGTCCTCATTTAGTTCACAAGGTTTCTGGTTTTCTATTGTACTCTGGACATTTTGAATATCTCAAGACTCCCTTTGAACACATCTTTACACCCTGCCCCATGCGAGACTGCCCTCGTGTTCCCAAACTGCACCTCAAATAAAACAACTAACAGGTTGCTGTTTTTTTTCTATTCAAGATATTCTGCTTTTCTTATGGTGGCTACTGGTCTACTGCTATGGCTGTGGTGATGATGATGGTGATGATGATGGTGATCATGATGATGGTCATGATGATGATGATGATGATGATGGTGATGGTGGTCATGATGATGGTCATGATGATGGTGATGATGATCATGATGATGGTCATGATGATGGTCATGATGATGGTCATGATGATGGTGATGATGATCATGATGATGGTCATGATGATGATGATGGTGATGATGGTGATGATGATGGTGATGATGATGGTGATGATGATGGTCATGATGATGGTGGTGATGGTGGTGATCATGGTGATTTTCTGACCTCTAGGTCATCTTCAGCACTATGTCACTGGGGTGCTGAAGTGCAGAGAAGGAAAGTAGCTCCCAAATCCCTGACAGAGTCCATAGCGGGAGCTTTGTAACCAGTCTGGCTTTTAATTCTGTCTTCCTGTGATGCTGTGTGAAGACAGAGAGACTCAGACACACAGAAGTACAAGGGGAGACTGTCCCCCCTGGTCACACTTTCTCCCAGGAACACACCCTCTGCCACACGGAGCTTCATTCTCAAAGCGCTTCCCAGGTCTAGGAAGCTGGGTCCCCACAGCCTGGCGTGGCTGCGATGACAGCGCCCACTCGCTCGCTCGCTCGCTCACCTCACAGATGCTGGTGGGAGGCGCACTATGTTGCAGGCACCGCTCCATGTGCTGTGGGTCCTGAAGGGAGCAGAAGACGCTGTTCTGTCCCCGTGAGTTGACACAGCTGCCAAGGATGGGAAGTGGCAGTGAGCAAGGAAGTGTGTACGTGGACTGAACCAATGGCCCCCGTGTGTGGCCAAGGATCTCTCATGCTGGTAGCCGAGGCCCGAGGAAGTGCAGGGTGGGAGCTCCAAGTCGTGCAACCAGCTCAGGCTCTGCACTTGGACGACACCCCCAGAAAATGGGAATGCACCAGAGCCCTGAGGGTGTCCACTGAGCAGCCCCTGGACACCAGGGGGCATGGATGAGAGGCTTCCAGTTATCTATGGGAACTGGAGCCACAGGTGACCAGAACCCCCTGCTCAGCGCCCCTCCTGCCCTCAGCCCCCAGGTCTGAAGACCTGTGTGGGACACCCTCCCCAGGACCTTCCAGCACAGGGGCTTGCTGGGGTGGGGGCGCCAGCTCCCTGCCCCGGATGGAGGTGAGCAGATCAGGACAGGACAGGGTTGCCAGATAGTCCACAGCTGGGGTCGGGGCACCCGGATTCCCTTGCCTCAGTTCCCCTGGGGTCAGTGGGCGGGGGGACATCTCCAGGCCCTGAATCCACCCCCCATGCTCCTGTTACTTCTGACCTTTTCCAACGTGGGGGAGCTGCTCTTCTGCCCCAGGGCTGGGCTCACAGCGTTGTTGGGGAGCCTGACGCAGGATCCAAGGCCCCTGTGCCAGCACAGAAATCTATAAACAAATTACCTTCCTCTGATGACAGTCTCAATAGCACACAGCTTGCTGACTTTCACACGTGCCAGATTTACAGGTGCTTAGAGTCTAGACTCGAGCTCTAGGAACTCAACACAGATAACAAGAGAACCGGGAGGGCTGGTGGGGCTGATGCCAACCAGGTGGGGGTCCAGGGGACAACACATAAAGCCAGGACCCTCCCCCAAGGTGGCCCCATCCTGGCCCTGCTCCCTCCATTCTGACTCCGAGGGGACTTCCCTGTCCTCTGGAAGCACAGGGGGGGGCCGTACTTGGAGGGACTGGGGGTGGATCAGGACCTGTGGGCAGAGTCTGGGCCCTCACAGGGAGCAAGCCTGACTGCAGCTGCTTGCAGGCCCCATGAACAGGGATGGGTGTGGTCCCAGGTTCCCCAGCCTCTGACACGTGTACCTGTGTCAGGTACCTGGAGGTGCCCAAATGCATGCATGCGTGTGCGTGTGTGTGTGTGCAGCAGAGGGGCTGTGCTGGGGGCCAACATGCCCCCTGGAGCCTGAGGTTTTGGAGACCCGTGTGAGCTGCACAAAGCCTGGTATTGTGGGGAGGGGAGGCCGCATAGGAGCCCTGGGGCCTGGGGCCAGGAGATCCAGGGGTTCAGGCATGAGCCGGGAGCCAGGAACCCGGCGAAAGCCTGGTTGAGCCCCACGTTAGCTGGCCAGGGCTCAGTCTCCCCGTTTGCATGCCTGGTGCGGGCACAGAGAGGCCGAGCTCCGAGGACCTGGGGTCTGTCGCAGGCCCTGCTCTGTCGGTGGCTTGTCTGGGGCGCTGGGCAGAGCAGGCACCTGTCCTCGGATGAGCAGGTGTGTCTGAAGATGCAAAGGGGGAGGGGGCACAATGGCTGTGGCTTAGGGTGGGTCCAGCAAGGATGGAAGGACAGGCTCTCCAGAGAGGGAACCGCAGCTGTGCGCTCAGGCTGGCTGGGCTTCGGTGGGCTCCAGGGTGCCTCGTCCTGCCCAGCCCCAGGGCCTGCGAGAGCCAGCATGCTCCTGGGGGGAGAGGAGCGAGTTAACTCTGCAGCAGGGACCCAGTCACAGGGAGGCTGTCGCTCATGGCTCCCTCATGCGGGTCCTGGCGTGGAGCCTTCCTCGCCCTGAGAGGTGACCTCTGAAGGCGTGTCCAAGACTCCTGGCCTCTCACCGGCTCTGATGCAAGAAGCCAGAGCCGGTTCCAAACTCGCAGTTTTGCTAAAAATGAAAACTTCTGCCTCCCACAGGGACGCCCAGGACCCCTCCCTCTGGCCCCTGTCCCAGCTGCGGGCAGAGCGGTCACCAGGCCACATGTGCGCCCCGTCAGCTGTGGGCTCCGCGTCCCTCCTCGCCGGCTTCCAGGCCCGGCCTCGCCCTCTTCCTGGTGGCAGCCCAGCGCCTCCGTGCCCTGCCCTGGCTTCCCCAGGCGTGCCGACCCCGAGTGACAGTGCCCGACACTGGGAACAATGTGCTCACTGTCACGGCCGGCCCCGGCTGGGAGCGCGGAAACATAAGATGCCGCGTCCCTGTTATCACTCTCGCAGGGAACGGGGCCGGGCTCCAGCTCGCATGAAGACATAATCATTTTCTCCCATTATTCAAATCTCCTGTTTCCTCCGTCTCGCCCCACCTTTCGGCAGCAATGGTGGGGGGAGAGGGCGGCCGGGCCGCGAGGCTCGGGGTCCCAGGCTCCCTTCACACCTGGGCAGCTGGGCCACGTCCAGGGCCCACGGGGACCAAAGCGGCCACGGCCGGGGTGCCGGGCGCTGCTCTGTCCTCGGTGTCCCTGGCCCAGAGGCCGCAGTGCTGGCAGGGCTGCCGGTGACGCAGACAGATGCAATCAGAGGGTGGAGGCCTCCCGGTGGGCCGCCCGCCTGGCCGGCCAACTCTGGCCAGGGGTGGCCGCATCTGGCCCACCGGGGGCTGGGGGCTCCGTCTGCCACTGCCAGC